TCAGTATGAGAGAAAATAATCTGCTTCATCACTATAATCGGCTCATGGGATTTCCAGAAATCTAATATAAACTATGTTTTTTTAATGGGGTAACTTATTACTTCCAAATTTTGTTAAAAGCATCGGGTAGAAACACTGGCACTTCCTTACTATTTTTATCAGTATTATGTTTGACCAGGTCTGGAAAAGAGTGACTAGGAAACAGTTTGAGTACAGGAAATGTGATTGAAACATGACCAAACTTTCTTCCATGTCAAAGGGTAGGAAAGGTGAAAGTAAAAACAAATCATAAATGGCTAGCTTTTGAAGATGCAAGGAAATGTCCAGGATTTTGTAGAAAGTCATAGACTCCTGTTTCTCCAAACACAATTAAGAAAAAAAACCACAGCTCTTTCTCATTCTTAGGATCTTTTCACACCTTAAAACTCAAGTCTCTCCCTTTCCCTGCCCTTCCATCAATCAAGTACCCAGCACTTGGATAAGGAATTTGGGAGTTACATGGAAAGTACATTTATATGGCTCCTCCTCTCGAAAATTTGTCTTTAGCACACATCCAGCACCCATCTATCTGCCTCTGCTGCTTTGGACAAAACCCTTTGAACATATTCCCTTTCCTCACCAACCACCTCCTCTCGTCCGGCTGGTCCTCTTCTCTCCTTCATCCAATTACATTCTAGATCCTTTCTACACAACTTTTTTGAGTTGGCGCTAAGGCCACTGTCAATCTTCTTTTGGACAAAGCGCACAGTATGACTCTGCTCCTTCTCAAAACAGTCTCTCTTCACATTTTCCTTTTTGCCTATTCTTTCCATTTCTATTTGCTGCCCTCCTTTATTTTTCCTCTTCTCCAATTTAATGTCTACTCTCTACTGGTTTAACACTCAACTCTTAAAACTAATCCCCAATTATGACTTTACTAGAGTCCAAATCATGGCATTTTCTTTGTTGTTTGCATCTCCCAATACAGAGTCATGTGGAAGTTCTTTCATAAGCTAAATTTAAAATGTGTAAGACTCAGATAAGATGCAAAATTGACTTCCCTTTCTCATCTTTGTAGTCTTTCACAAATGAATGAATATAAAGTATTCTATAGACCACAAGGATGCCCATAGATGTCTCACCACTTGGAGGGCAAATAGGCTTGGAAAACTAGGTATCCCTTAAAGAAAGCACAGCACTGGTTTTCCAAGTGAAGCATCAAATTATTGTCCAATGAATGCAAGAAGTACAGCATCACTAAATTCATGCCCATGCAAAACCCTTAAAATGCCACCAAGAAGAAGTTAAAATAGAAGCTGTGTGCTGAAGAAATCTTGGACAGGTCCCTTTACAGTCATACTTATATTTAGAGCTAAATAGGCATCACACCAATTAGCTCTGAAATTAACAAATTTCCGAGGCTAGCCTGAGGCCATATGGGAAGAGTCAAAAGTAGCTTTTGCTCTTTTTAATTCATGCCAGCCTTTCTTCCCCACAGTGGTTTTACTTTTTTTTTTCATTATTTTCACTTCCACGACGGTTATTGATAATGGCTTTAAGTATTTCTGAGTGATACTGATTTTGATAGTTTAAAATTAATTTTTGAATATACACTGGGGACCCTATTTTGGCTCAACTGTCCTCAAGTATTCAAACTATTTTTGATAATATATGTTATATGATATATGACATATGTTGACATAGGAGCATAGATTTCATGGGCATCAATTAAATATAATGCTCAGCATATGAGTTTTGCTTAACTAAAATCGTCATACTACTGAGAACCATACGAAAACTACTATTTGTCCCCTTTTTTGCCTTAGCAAATGTAGTTATTGATATCTGAAGATTTTACAGAGCATTAGAGAGAACATAAACAGTTTGTGATTTGTGTTGCAGAAATAAGAAATTAGTCTGAATATGTATTTACAGATCTTGAACTTATTTCTGTGATTTAACCTGTGATTTTTCTCTTCATGTTTGATACAGTAAATTGATTTCAGGTTAATCAATCTTTGTCTGTACATAAAATCATATATACACACACACATAAGTGTGTGTATATATATATATTCTTATAATACTTTGACATTGTTAAATGACCATAGTTTCTATGAGAGCCATATAAATTCTCATTTAAAATGAATCACTCTATCAATTATCCCACCAGTGATTTTTTTTTTCTTAGTTTTATAAAACACAAGTCTTCCCAAACTTGAATACTTGAATTCCCAGGTATTCTTTTTCTGTTCAACCAACCATGAGAATTCCATTATGAAAAATTGGCAGACTCTGAGAGGTTTGCAGATCAGAGTGTTTAATTAGTGTTGTTTTGTTATGGGTTTTTTTTCTTGTTACTCTTATTTTTTCTGTTTGTTTCTTTTAACTTATCTTATCCAAGTCTTTAAGAGGTTTTGTAGAAATCCTAACAGAACATTTCACATTGCAAAATATCATCACAGTGTCTTAGCCCCTAGGGGAAACATGTAATGCAGCATTACTTTACATAATTTATATATAAATTATTCCTGTCTATCACATCAATTCTCTAAGCTTTTACCACCAATCCAAGGGCATTTTTCTATCAGGTTTAGTCAACTTTCAAAAAATGCAAATTTTAATAGTATAAAAAGATATTATTATGCCCTCAAGGTATTTTAGTTAATAAATTGAAGCTCTATATACATAATATACTCTTGTGATTGTTACTCTCCTCAATTAACAAAATTGGAACTTAGAAAAAAAATATTTGTTGTTTAATTTTCCTGTTTATATTTTATAGAAAAATATACATGTAAAAAAGATTACAACGCTGATTAATTTTTAAAGAAATACAGTATTTTGAGTAACAATAATGGGATTTTACCATGGCTGAGAATATGGAAAATATAATGTTTAATGAGATGATTATCATATCAAGCTATAGCAAACATGAATTCAATTGTGCTATAATCTACTGGAATGAAGCATATTTTACTTTGAAACTTTTAAATTATATTAATTTTTAGACACCTGAAAAGTAAAAATTAAAAACAATTTTTATATTTTAATATTGAGAAAAGAGAAGGATTTTGATATTTGTTGAGAGCTAAGAAGCAAAATAAGACTTTTTTCCTTTCTGTATCATTTTTTGTCTCATTTTTTTTTGTCACTTTTGTCACCTCCCAGGAAAAAGGATTTATGCATTGTCTGGCAGCGTTTTATAGGATTAAAATGATCTGACTAATGATCTGGCAAATGTCACTCTATCTCTCCCATAGAATATTTTGTTTCTGGATCCTGGAGGCCATACTTTATGCATTATTGTAGTGAAAGGGATGGTTTTGAGGTAGATTTCTGTGTAGGTAACACTGATAGAACTCACAGGTGTGAGGTGGGGGACAAGAAGAGAGAATAAATTAAATTCGTAGCTTGAATGACTAGAATAATAGTACTATTAATGAGATGGGAAACAGAGAGAGGTGCAATTTGTTCCAGTAAAGTTTTATTTCCGAATTTCTAAAAGGAACTAAAAAACACTAGAAGAGATTATCAACACATTTTTATCACGTTCCTTGAAAATATTTTCAAATTAGACAGAACGGATGATTTTTCAATGTTATTCCACATTCTCAAGCTGCTCGAGTCTCTCTTTCTCCCCCTCCCCCACCGCAACTAACTTTTCCTCATTGACAGCCCACTGCATACAAACCTAACATCCCAATCCTGACTCTTGTAAACGTCTGTGATCCCAGAAAAGATTTCAGTTAGATGTTTGGTGTGGGAAGGGAGTATAACCAAAATCCTAAAATTGAAGATCTAGAAAACCAAGAATAGAGAACAGAGAGGTTTACCCACTCTGTTCCCAGTTAGGAATCTCCAGGCAGAAAAAAACGAAGGGTTTCTATGTTAATCACTAGAATTCACACTGAGTGTTCATTCAATGTCAGTGTAAAGATTGATAGTGATATGTGCCACTCTATGAAGATTTATTGCCACAAAGGAGTGCAGCAGAGATTCTCAGCAAATTTGTATCCAGTCTACTCTTGGCCAACATTTTAGCATGCTGAATATAGTGAGTGCTAAGTGGTAAATAATCAGCTATGGAAATACTTGGCAGGATTGTGCAATGCGACAAATAACTCCTTGAAAAATAGCCTATAGAAACTGAAGGCATTCACTCTGAAATTCTTTGATAAGTTGTTTGGAGAGTTTTCACGTTTCCTTCCTAATACCTTTAAGATGCATTGTCACCTCTTAATCAATAAAAGAAAATAAGGTTTTTGTTTTCATCATCTTGTGCAACTGACCTTTTATTTGCATTTTTAGCATTATTCCACGTGCCCTGACTATAACATATTATCTGTAGGATACTAACAAGCTGGTACATAGGGTGATTGCTCTATTTAATATAGTAAACCTGATCAAATCATTTATTTTGGTATAAACTTGGAGCTGCCCTCTGGAGAATATTTTGTTGGTTAATGCTAAAGTATAAATAAAGCTATGCAAGTGCAGATTGCTTCACTTTGAAGAAAATAAATTAGAAATGTTGTACAAAATATGTTCACTTAATAGAAATACTTACAACTTATTTTAGTTTTCCACATTCTTATAAGATGAAACTTTTGTATTTATACATGCTACTTAATTATTACAACACAAACTTTCCCCAAACGGTTTGTCCATTAAGAAGCATATATTCTTAATTTCTCAAAACACTGATTTGAAGCCATGTGTACTCTAAGAAGAAAAGTTTTAGTAGAAGCCCCATATGAATAAAGTGTGTACAAGAAATTTTAGAAAAATTGAAAAAAAAAAAAAAAAAACAATGATGGTTCTGTATCGGTAAATAAATGAAAAATATATTCTCTGCCATTTTTCATCACTTACATGATATAACATGCTTACCTGCTTGCTAAATTTTGTAAATTGCTTCTTATCACTTGATAAATGTATTTAAGTTTATTTAATTGGCTGTTATGCAAGTTATTTGGACTTTTAACTAACTTTCTTTTTCTTTTTTTCTCTCTCCCCAGAAAGGATGGAATTATGAATCCAATCTGTTAAATTTCCTCTTCGCAATTTTAAACTTTGGTTGCTTAACACCGAAGCAATCATGGTGAACCTGAGGAAAGCGGTGCATTCGTTCCTGTAAGGATGTTATTACTGATTATTTTTTTAAAAGATAACTTTTTATGGTAGCTTGCTCAAAAATGTTAAAAAGGTTTTTCTATGATCATTCAGCTATGTTTGCCTCAATTTGCACAAATGACTTGCAGCCCACAGGCTAATATTATGGATGTTCCCTGTTCAAAAATAAATGGAAAAAAAACCCAATAACTTAGACTTCAATTAAATAGAACTGCTCATGTAGTCAAATAAATACTATGACAATAATATCTTAAATTCCAAAATAATTCCAATGTTCATGGTTGCTTTCTCCATGGTTAAAATGTAGAAATGAGAAAGGTTCTTTCCTTTTCCTTCCTTCATGAACTAAACAGCCAAGAGGATAAAATGTCTTTATCAGTTTCTGGTTTTATAAAGAATGGTTGGGGTTACAAAAGAATGGGTAAGAAGTCAGGGAGTAGAGCTTGGGTGATGGAGCTAGACAGAGGAAAACAATGCTGTCTTCCGAAGTCTTGATACAATGACCCAGTAGTTCAGATCAATAGAATGTCACGTAAAGGAGATAAGAATTGGATTCAAGTACTGAGCAATTCTAAATGTAATCTAATCCAGGTATATCTTCTTTTTAACTTAATAAAATGTTGGGCTGGTCTCTTCCAAGCCCACTCTTCGAGGAATGGGGCATGGAAAAAAGATCCAGGGCTCTGTAAATTCTGATCAGTTACAGTTGAGAAACCTTGAATCCCCTTGCTCCTACAGCCTCCTCTATGATTCCTATAAAGAGCTCACCCAGGAAAAAGTTGATGGGGTAGTAGAGATATAAAGTACATCCACACTGGATCCTCCACAATATGCAATATGCTCCACTAGAGCCCATCTTGGATGTCACTGCACATTGTGGTGATGGTAGTCTCAGTGATGTGTGATTCCAAGAGGACAACAACAGACAGGAAAAGGAAAGAATGGAGGACAGTGTAAAAGAAGGGAAGGGGCGCCTGGGTGGTGCAGTCAGTTAAGCAACCGACTCTTGATTTTGGCTCAGGTCATGATCTCAGAGTCGCGGGACCCAGCCCTGCCTTGGGATGGATGGTAATCCACTTCTTCTAAAAATGCCCATTGTCATATGGCAGGCAAAAACACAGTACATTTAAAACGTACAGACTTTTAACTCAAATTATCATTTTGTTTATCTACCTAGAATATAAAATTATATGTTCATTAAACATTTAGTACCAGTGAATAAATTGGTTGCATTGTTCAGAGAGAAACTGTAGTCTTTGTGTACATATTTTATGAGACTTCTGTGTGTGGGCTTAATAACAATTAACTTAAGCTTTAGGAGCAAGACCAAAATTATTCTTCTTCTATAAAAGGAGCTGTATATATTTCACTGAGCATGTAAATATTAGAAATTAGGTTTAATTATAATATAGCCAATTCTTGATAACAAAACTATAGAAAATAGGATTGAACTTTAATAATAATTATAATACTTTGCCCATAGTAACACCCAATAAGAATTCATTAAATTTAATTGAGTTGAAACCAGGAAACTGAGTAATACTCTTATAAAATAAAAGTATATATATATACTTTTATATATTATATATATATATATAAATATATATATATTTTATATTAAAATGTAAAATAAAAGTAAATACTCTTTCAGGATCTTCCCAGTAACATTATTTTAGAATTCACAACAGATATATTTAGATTCTATAAGCTTCCTCAGTAATTTAGTATTTCATGAAAATTAAAAATATATCTGGCCAGCAGAGGTAGGCAAGATAACCACTTGAAGTGTTTTCCTACCCACAATAAGACACTCAAATTTTAAAATTGATAATTGTCCAATAGTATTTCATGTATTTTTTACATACGATCTTATCCTGCATTCCTCCTTTTAAAAATTTATTTATTTATTAGAGAGAGAGTACAAGTGGTGGGGAGGGGCAGAGGGAGAGGGAACCCAACGTGGGGCTTGATCCCAGGACCCTGAGATCATGACCCAAGCCAAAGGCAGACGCTTAACCAACTAAGCTACCCAGGCGCCCCTCTGCCGTTTTTAGAGAAATATGAAAGGACTTTGATGTTTTTACAACTTGCTTAGAAAATTGAAGTTGGATGCATATTCTGTTAGGACCTTATTCTCTAAGCTTAAGGATAAATACACTTGTGGTTCTATAACCGACAGTTGAAGATGAAATATTTTACTATGAGCATAAACTCTTGCGGGACTACCTGAGATAATTAGCAGCTAATTTAAACTAGAATTTTTTTTAAATGCCAGAAAGACACGTTTTTCATCAGATAAGCCAGAAAAGACCCAGATTTAAAATTACCGCCTGAGGCTGTTTTGCATAAATAAGTATCTTATTAAAATAAAATCAGGATTTAAATTCATCACCAATTGTGAAATACATGAGTCGGGGTGTAGTTATCATTAACTACTTTTGTTTAACTTTGAAGGCAAAAGGAAGGTAAGCCCCAATATTGACTGAGGGCCCATTGTGACGAAGGTACAATATTCAGGACTTTATATATATTGTTTAGTTTTCCCAACGATCACATAATAAAGATCATCCTTGTTGTACAGATGAAGAAATGGATGCTCTGAGAGGTTAAGTGACTGGTCAAAAAATCATTGAGGTCATGAAGTTAGGAAATTGACCACATGCCCTGTGCAACAAATAGAGTGACAGAATAATCAAAGCTGAGAGCAAATAACGTGCTTCTATTTATTTGGTCCTTTATTTTAATAATTTCTACTCACATTAATCAGATTACTTATGATACAGATTTTTTGAAACATACATTATTTTAGCTTATTTTTTATGTTCTAGGAAATAGAATTTACTGATTATTTGATACAAAAATGTACTGATTATTTGATAAAAATTACTATGTATATCACCCTCTGCATGTTGCTTAGAATGTCAGGTAACTTCAACTAATAAGGAAGTTATTTTAAGCAAAACGTCTAAAATATTAGTTTTCTATCCTCTGTAGAATGAGAAAGTCAAAATATTTTCATGATTTCTTCATTATCTTAAAAGACATAAAAGTATATTACCAAGATATTAAGAGAAGTAATTTTTAAATTCTCCAGAAAATTATTACAGTATTTTACTTGAATTTTAAAAATGTTAATAGTTTCTCAGGCCAAGCATTCCAGTTTAAGTTTAGAAAGTACGGTGTATGTGCAAGTACGTGTGCATAATATCATAAATATATCATTACGATAATCATAATCATCCAGTTTTACTACAGTAAATTTCTCTGATGATCGGTAATAAATGATGAGCTAATCAAATCACACATGTATTTTCCCTGTATAGAGATAACATTTTTAGTTCAATGGAAAAGTGAATAAGATAATGAAGTAAAAGCATTTGTATGAAGAACTCAGACTCTGGATGTCATAATGTCATGTGTTCAATCTCCCCAACTCCAGAAAGACCCTTCAACAGTCTTGCAAACAAAAAAAAAATTATTCAGCACGTATTTATACGAGAGAAAATTTTCTCCTCTATAAATAATAACAAGGTTTAACAACCACTACATATAGTGCAGTTGCTGCTTAATATTTATAAAATAACTATTACTGAACATAGAATACCCAAAAACCAGTCGTTTTCAAATAATAACCCTTGCTTTCAAGCAGGAAATATTGAATATGCTTATCTTTCTTATCTATTTTATTAATGAAAATAAATGTTAGTTTTATTAGATACTTTGGGAACACACACTTTGAAAGGACACTTAATGTATGTAACCTGAATAAATCTCATACCACCACAGAGGAAAGTTGATTTGGGATGTACAAAACATAGCCATGTCCACTTCTACATTGTTTGCCACCTGGCCTGATATTCTTACTAGTGGAGTCTACAAAAGTACCATCCCGAGAGATGCACAGTTTACATGACTTCAGAGGTTTTGTATCCAGCACAGGAAAAGCAGCAAACCCATAGGAATTAGTCATCACCACAAATCAATCATTTTCTAGCCTAGAACAGGGCCCCGAAAACATAGGACAGAAATGAGCAGAGTGTCAGAGAGAAGGAACATTTATAGCACAGATATTAATACGTATGGACCAGCCTAAATCACTCTGCAGCTGTGAGAAGGTAAAAAGAGTTTTAGAAAGAAATGAATATGCACTATGGCCAAAACCCACTGTGCCTCTTCTAACATCTTGCCTGAAGTTTGTCTGATGACAACTTATTCCTTGTTAGCTTTAGATTAAAAAGGGCAACGGTCCAATTTTCTTGTCAGGGTACTGGATACTTCAAGGAAAATCTCCTTTCATTCTGTTGTCAGTTGTCTCAGATGATATCTAGAAGAAATTAATATTGAAAAAATATAAAAACAGACTGTTACAGCAAATCAAACAACACTGTGGTTTCATATTGCTTGTATAGAGTAACAGTTTAAAATACAGGCCTTGAAATCAGTGGGTCCTGAATATGGACCCTGCCCCTGCCACTTACGGGCTGTGCTGCCGAGAGAAAGTTACTTAACCTCTCTGAATCTCGGGCTCCTCATTTGCATAATGGGTATAAACCAATCCTACACACAACACAAGGTTGTTGTGTGTGTGATCAAATGAGATTACATATATATAATTTTATACTATAGATAATGTTTATTATACATATATATTTCCATAAACTAAGTGACTTACTCATAATATTCTTTGGATAGAAAAAGAAATACTGAGATGATGATGATGATGGTGATAAGGGTTGCTGAAAGAAAAGCAATTGTTTTGTATAAGCAATTTACTGGGTATAAGCAATATAATACGTATTTGATTTTTTTTTTCTTAATTTTCAGTGTGCACCTAATTGGCCTACTGGTTTGGCAATGTGATATTTCTGTGAGCCCTGTTGCAGCTCTAGTAACTGACATTTTCAATACCTCCGATGGTGGACGCTTCAAATTCCCAGACGGGGTACAAAACTGGCCAGCACTTTCAATCGTCATCATAATAATCTTGACAATAGGTGGCAACATTCTCGTTATCATGGCAGTAAGCTTGGAAAAGAAACTGCACAATGCCACCAATTACTTCTTAATGTCCCTAGCCATTGCTGATATGCTAGTGGGACTACTTGTCATGCCACTCTCTCTGCTTGCAATCCTTTATGGTAAGTACAATTTTATTAGTTTTTTTAATCTCTGATTATATCTTAAATGTGTATCAGGTATCATAGTAAACACTCGTACAGTTAATCGTTTTACTTATATCATTTGGAAAATGAAGAAAAAAGCCAATTGTGTGACAGAAGTGGATGTGTATATCATATTTATTAAATAAATCAGTAGCAGAGTCTTCAAAAAGCAAAAGGGACATTTTATAATATATCAAAGTCATACACAAATACTGTATTGCTCAGTCTCACTTATACACAATTACAGTTGCCTTAATGTATACAATGGGACAGTGACAGAAACATGTTCTCACCTCTGTGTTCTGGGTGGTACACATACCTAGTATCCTTTCTTTCACGAAGAAAGAAAAAGAGACTCATCAACTTTAATAAATATATTTTAAATAATCTTTTTAAATGTTAGCAAATTAAGTGCTTGCACATAATATGCACTCAATAACAGCTATTCTTCTTTATGGAGTCTACAATTTATGTTTTTACAAGGTGACAGGGATAAGAAATTAATTAATAATTATATAAGTGCAATGTCACATTATCACAATAAAATTCAGGCATTCAAAGTTTTCATAATATTGATTTTAGAGAGGTTTCTCGTTTTTCTTTTCATATTCTGCCATCCCTTTACCCTATTCATTTCACATTATATTTTTTTATTCAAGTGTAATTAACGTACAGTGTTATATTAGTTTCAGATGTACAATCTAATGATTCAACAATTCCATATAATTCTCAGGGCTCATCAAGGTAATAGTATTCTTACTCCCCTTCATCTATTTTACGCAGCTCCCCTCTGGCAAATACCAGCTTATTCTGTGTATTTGAGTCTGATTTTTTTTTTTTTTTATGTGTCTCTTTTTTTCTTTGTTCATTTGTTTTGTTTCTTACACTTCACATATGAGTGAAATCATATGGTATTTGACCTTCTCTGACTGACTTCAATTAGCATTATATCCTCTAGGTCCATCCATATTGTTGCAAATTTCAAGATTTCATTCTTTTTATGGCTAATATTCCATTATAGATATATGTATATATACATCATACTTTCTTTTATCATTCATCTATCGATGGGCACTTGGGTTGCTTCCATGTCTTGGCTAGTGTAAATAATGCTGCAATAAACATAGGGATGTATATATGTTTTTGTTTTAATGTTTTCATTTTCTCTGGGTAAATACCCTGTTTACTGGATCATATGATAACTCTATTTTTAACTTTAAACATAAAGAAAACATCCTCAGGGATTTCAGGTAAAAATAAGGAAAAATTTACAAGAGTAAGAGAGTTAGACTGACTTCACAATTAACAAAAATAAAGCCAAGTAATAGAAGCAATATCTTTCAAAAAGTTAACCAATTGTAAGACACTCTTTCAAAAGCAAACCTATAAAGAAAGAAAACAGATCACTCGTTTCAAGGGGTTTAAAGTGGGAGGATGACTGAAAAGGGGTATTTATTTTGGTATATGTTGATATGGTGGTAGTTTTATATACATATGTAAATTTAATATATATATGATGTAAATATATATATAAATTCCTAAAATTTGAAAAACTATAAATTCTAGTGTGCAGTTTTAAAAAGGTGAATTTTACTGTATGTTAAGTATACCTTAAATTAAAAAAGCAGAAAAACATACTCAAAGTTTGAAATGAAGATTTTTACATCCAGACATGCTAACCATGAAGGCTATAAAAAGCTGAAATCTGTTTTGAACTTAGAGAATTCTGAGCCCATAAGCCTTTCTTAAGAAATTAAATAGTGGATGAGATTAAACTAACCAAGGAATGATTGGGAAAATTTCATCCACAAGACTGATGACGAGCATTTAATATGGGTAATATTAGAGCTAAGACAAAAATAAAAGTGGTATAAGGGTAGGAGAATACTGTTATATGTTATATAGCATCTATTATGTGTTATAAACTCTAAAAAAATTAGCAAGAATGCAACTAAAATTACGAAGAGAATAGAAAGGGAACGAGGAAAAGGAAAGTAAAATAATTTTATCGATTTTTCTATAAACAAAAGGTGGGAGCTAAATGATACCATTAAAAATTGGCAAACCAGAATGTAATAGAGTTAATAAGAAAACAGTGGTTTAAGGGCATTAAGCGTGATATAAATAAAACATGATATAAATGAGAATTTAAGTTAACCATTAAAACAAAAAACAAGCCTTCCAAAACCCCAAAAGAAATGTAATTAATGAAAGAACAAAAGACATCAACTAGAGGAAGAAACACAAGAAAATGTAACATTATGCCCTCAACTAATATGCCATGATGTAATATGACAGAGGAAAACAAACATGCCCGTAACAGCGATAAACTTGAATGAACCTAAACACGACTAAAAATGAAAGATTTTTAATTTGGCTTAAAAAAGAAAAGCCCAACTATATTCTGTATACAAGAGAAACCCTTAAAACCCAGTGATTCATAATGGCTAAAAATACCGGGATGAGCAAAAGTGCACCAAGTAAATGGAAACAATAAGAAAACAGAAACTGTGATTTGATATCTAACAAAGTACATTTCGAATGAAAACAGTGCAAGAGTAAAAAAAGAAAGATGCTTATTTATGATAAAAGCCATAAATAACAACAAAGATATAGCAGTTAAGAATATCTATGCCACCAATAACACAGCAATGCCCCTTATAAAGCAAAAACAAAAGAACATGGAAGGACACATTTATGAATACATTCTACTAATGGGAGATTTTAACACATCGTACTCAGTATAAGAAAGATTGGGCAGGGGCACCTGCGTGGCTCAGTCGTTAAGCGTCTGCCTTCGGCTCAGGTCGTGATCCCGGGGTCCTGGGATCGAGGCCCGACATCGGGCTCCCTGCTCAGCAGGAAGCCTGCTTCTCCCTCTCCCACTCCCCCTGCTTGTGTTCCCTCTCTCGCTGTCGCTGTCTCTGTCTCTATCAAATAAATAAATAAATAATCTTTAAAAAAGAAAGATTGGGCAAAAAAATTAAAAGGTTATAGATCTTATGCAGGTGTGTTGAACTTTATACTCTTATCAAAGAGTATACCTTCTTTGTAAGTGCATGCGGAACACACACTGAAATTAATAAAATATTAGGCCACAAAGAAAATATTAAAAAAGTAAAAATATTACCCAAAGTACTTTCTGATAAGAAGACAATAATATTAGAAAAATTAACAACAAAAGTTTAAAGACCATCTCATCTTTTTTTTTGAATGTTTTTTTCTTTTTTTTTATGTTATGTTAATCACCATACGTTACATCATTAGTTTTTGATGTAGTGTTCCATGATTCATTGTTTGCATATAACACCCAGAGGATATAACAAATTTTTAAACAATTCTTGAGGGGCACCTGGGTGGCTCAGTCTGTTAAGGGTCTGCCTTCGACTCAGGTCAAGATCACAGGGTCCTGGGATCCAGCCCCACAGTAGGGTCTCTGATCAGCAGAAAGGTTGCTTCTCCCTCTCAGTCTCCCTCTCTGTGCACTCCCTCCCTCACTCTCTCTCTCTCTCAAATAAATAAATAAAATCTTCAAAAAAATAAACAACTCTTGATCAAAAGGAGAAATGCAAACTGAAATTACAGATTTCTTTAGAAATATAGCAGCATAAACACTGCATATCAAAATCTATACAATATGCTTAAAGCAGTGATCGGTGGAAAATTCATAGCCCTAATCACATTTATCAGTAAAAATGAAAGCATACAAATGAATTAAATTCCCAGCAAAGCAACCTTGGAAAAAATCTATAAAGTAAACCGAAAGAAAGCACAAAGAAGAAAAAAAAAAAACTAAAGAGAAAAGCGGAAATTACAGCATAAAAAACAATATACCTGATGAATAAATCAAAATCTTGGTTTTTAAAAAAATTTTTTTAAACAAAATAAAAAATCATCAGCTAACTTTAAAAAAGGAAGAAAGCATGTATAAAATAAGATACCACAAGGAGAATAACAACTGAAGCAAAATACACTTTTAAATCATGAGATTATTTTGTAGATTTATGTGCAGATCAATTCAGAGCATTAAAAAATAGGTAATTTCCCAAGTGGAATAATTCAATTATAATGGGCAGAGGACCTGAATAGATATTTCTTCAAATAAGACATACAGGTGCTCAGCAGGCACAGGAAAAGAAGCTCAATATCACTAATCATCAGAAAAATGCAAATCAAAACCACAATGAGATATCACCTTACACCTGTCAGAATGGCCAGAATCAAAAAAGACAAGAAATAACAAGTGTTGGTGAGGATGTGGAAAAAAAGGAACCTTAATGCACTGTTGGTGGGAATATAAGTTGGTACAACCACTGTGTAAATCAGTATGGAGGTTCCTAAAACAATTGAAAATAGAAATACGATATGAGCCAATAATTCCACTACTGGGCATTTATCAAAAGAAAACAAGAACACTAATTCAAAAAGACACATTTACTCCCATGTTTACTGCAGCATTATTTACAATAGCCAAGATATGGAAGCATATCTCTATGTTCTTCCTAAATTAATGTATCAATTAGTTCAATTCCAATAAAAATGACAAGATTTAAATTTTTTTTTAAAAGTATGTTGTCACAAAAACATTTAACATAAGAGCTACCCTCTTAAATTTTTAAGTGTACAAAACGTTATTATTGGCTACAGGTACAATGATGTACAGCAGATATCTAGTGCTTATTCGTTTTGTTTAACTGAAACTTTATACCTGTTGGTAAGTCCCCATTTTCCCTTCCCTCACTCTCCTGGCAACCACCATTCTATTCTTTGAGTCTATGAATTTGACTACTTTAGATACCTCACATGTAAGTGGAATCATGCAGTATTTGTCTTTCTGTGACTGGTTTTTTTTCACTTACATAATGTCTTCCATGTTCATCCATGTCGTCACATATTGCTGATTTTTCTTCTTTTTTAAGGCTAAATAGTATTCCATTGTATGTAGTATATATAAAATATATATATTATGTTACATT